GGGATTCCCTCCCAGTCGCCGCTGTGTCTACTCCGTCATGAGCGCAACGTTTCATCTTCAGGAGCCCGCGTCGCATTTTCTCTCCCCGACGGATTTGGAGTCGCCCGCGCCGAGCATCCGACCGGAAGGGAAATCAAAGTCAGCCAAAGGAATGGCTTTGCGCTTAGCTCAGCCACTTGACGGGATGAATGGCCGCTCCGCGAGACCGCCCGCCGACGCGAGAGGCCCCGAGAAAGGAGCCGGCGTCAACCGCCGCCGTTGGCGACGGGGAAGGAGGAGGCCGAGTGGACGCGGCGTGCAATACCCGAGGGAGCGCCAGCAGAGGCCTCCACCTTCCCGCTTCTTCTCCTCGGGGCCGTCGGCGCTCCCTCCCTCGCCCCCTCCCTCGCCCCCTCCCTCCTCACATCTGACGATGACGTTGTCGCCGCGTCATCCGGTCGCTTCCTTTCGTCTCTCCTTCGCTTGCTTTCTCCTCCTTGACGCGTTTTGGGGCTTTTGGTGCAGCCGAGGCGGGCGGCACCGCGATGCGCCCGGTCGAGAACGGTCTTGTCACATTTCAAAAGACGACTCCAAACAAAACACAAACAAACTGCCCGCTTTGAATTTGGGGCAACTTTGTGTTTTGAAATGCTGAGTTTAGGATTTTTAGTCGATGTGTTGTGGGCAAGATAGAAAAAAAAAGCACGCTGGTTGCGCGGGACAAAAAGGAGAGTTGAAAAGCGGCACCCATCTGCAAACGAAAGGAACGTGGCTTCCTCCGGCCCGCCAAAGCAGATGGCTCAACTCCTGCCCGGTCGTATTTGACACGCTGGGACGCTCGAGCGTTTGTTGTCGTTGTCGGGAAAACACCGTTTAGCCGGCGTGGCTAAGCCTCGAAGCGAGGTTCGATGACAAAAGTTCACCAGGTCAAGTGGCGGCCGAGAAGCCGCGCGGTTTCGGGGGCGGGAAAGGCGAGGGGGGCCGGCTTATTGGCCGCCCGCCGCGCTGTCCCGATGTCGTCCGCGCCGCGACGACCTCAAGCCCAAAGGCTCCAAGACGCTGTGTTGTCCTCGCGTGAGCGTTTTTCACAGCCGCTCTCTTTTTTCGCGACGGCGTGTTTGCAACTCGGAACTAAACGAAGCTCTGGTGTGACAGGAAGTGCTGTTGAAGCGAGCCGCCGACCTGGTGGAGGCGCTCTACGGGATGCCGCACAGCAACCAGGTGAGGCCCGCCCGACGCGAGCGCCGAGTTTCCCGCTTCTGACCGCCGCTGCCCCCCCCCCCTCGCAGGACATGATCCTGAAGAGAGCGGCCGACCTGACGGAGGCGCTGTACAGCGGCGTCCCCCGCGGGCACAACCAGCTGCCGTCGCTGAGCGGCGCGGCGGCGCATTCGGGAATGATGGCCGTCAACTCCTTCGGCGGCCAGCTGAGCGCAAACATCTCGGAGGCGTCGCAGGCCGACCAAGGTGAGCCGCGCATGCGCGCGCGGCGCCTTTTTTCGACAAAGCGCCCGTTTTACCGTTTTGGTCGTTTTTTTTGTGTTCCCAGGTTACTCACGCAGCTCCAGCAGCGTTTCCCCTCGCGGTTACGCGCCGAGCTCCACGCCGCAGCAGTCCACCAACTACAACGCCATCAACAGCATCACGTCCTCCATCAACGGCTACGCCGCCGCCATGAGCAACCTGGCCGTGCCCGGCTCGCCCGGCTTCATCAACGGCGCCGGCGCCAACTCCGCCTACGCCGGTGAGTCGCGACCGAGCGCCGAGCGGCTTCTATTGGCAGGGTCGACGGCGGCGTTTTGACAGCCCCTCGCCGGTCTGCGCGATCGGTCGTCGCGGCCGCCAAAGACGCCCCCGATCGCTCGCGGCCGCCCTCGTCCGCGCTTTGCCGCTCCCTTTTTGAGCTTGGCCTCGTTGATTTCCGCTTGGAGCCCCGCCATCGCGTCCACCATCATGTGTGTTCATTGCGTCGATTGAGGTCGTGTTCGGTCGGAGCCTCGGCTGGTCTCGGCGCCAAGCTCCGGTCAAGTTGTGGATCAACTGTGCCCGACGGCGGCGACCCATCCCCGCCGTCCCGGTCCCCTCCCGCGCGCGCCATCCCGCGCCGGCCGCCGGCTTGCTCCTTCCTCACCCGTGGTCTCCCTCTTCTTCCTGCTCCCGTAGGCGCGCGTTCGTTCTCTCCTGTGGTTTCTGCAGTCAAACAGAAGAGCGCCTTCGCTCCCGTGCTGCGGCCACAGACCTCCCCGCCCCCCGCCTG